CTGATCGCTACGAACATAATAAGTGATGCCAAAACTTTGCTGGCTTACCTGATATACCGTACTGCAGCTATATTATGATTATAGCACAAATTGGGTCCCCCCAAACTGGGGAAGGACCACTCTCACGCAGAATACGTCATCATCATCATCATTACAGCCCTTCACAAGTCCACTGCTGAACATAGCCCTCCCCTAAGGTATGCCACAAAGCACGGTCCTGAGCCACCTGCATCCATCAACTTCCTGCATGTCTTACCAGGTCACCACTCCATCTAGTGGGGGGTCGCCCTACACTTAGCCTACCGGTACGGGGCTGCCACTCGAGAACCTTTTTTCTCCAATACATACTAGCGTAAAATAGCACCTCAATACTACTGTTTTCTGTGATGAATGTAGAGAACCGGAGGTCTTTTTTATTGGATACGAGGAATTCTAGCTTAGTCCTCAGGGGTGATAACGCATCTCCATTTTATCTTAATTGAGGATAAATGTAGATGTTTATAGGCCATGATATCTGTATCATCAGCTAGACTGGACTATGTGCTCGTTTGTTACCCTTATTCTAATAAAAATAACGCGCACTCACGCACACATGTTTTTTCTTCCTTTCTTTACCCGCTTGTAATAGTTTAGTATAGGACGCACACACATGCTCCTAAAACCATAACATTGGTTGCGAATAATTTTAGATGCATATGTATACGTGAGTGTATTTTCTTACAGTAAGTTGAGCGTGGTTTCGGCTTGGATTTATGCGTCACATAAAATGTAAACGACGCCCTGTTTTTCTTATATTGTTGGTCTGAGACTTCGATTTTTAAGTTGTTCACTGTAGCCATGAAGTAACCACAGTCATTTTTTTAAGTTATTTCTCTCGAAATAACATACAATTTCACCGTATTTTCCTAAGCTGTCCTAGAAAATTGTGGGGGAGAGCCAGAGATTTCTTAAGGGGCTCAGCCCCCAAGGCATTGTACAAGGTGAACGATTAAACGTGAAAGAATAATAAATAAGGGTTGTAAGTACTGTAGGGCCGATAGTTAGTGTCACTTTATTATTATTAAGAGAAGACAGCTTTATGGCTAAAAAAGTTATCAAAAATCTCGACTGCAAGAAAAGTTAATTGGAAAAAGAAAAATTGTGTACCCCATGTCACTTCCAGGGTTAAGACTAATCTAACAGCATCCCACGTGTTGAAACCATCAAGCCGTTTAGACATATATATGAAAGATATAATCCTCCTTCTAGACCAGGTAAAACAGGAGTCCGACTATGTTGATGCCAGCCTCTTTATTATCATTATGGTTAAGGAAGCGGTTATAATCACAGGCTGTAAGGTATTTCATCTTAGTCTTCAAAAGCTAGCAGCGCTTCCTTACGCTTTGTATTATGGTAATATCCACTCATGATTAGGTAGACTGCGCTCACTTATTAGTGTTGTGTAAAATGAAGACTCTTATTGTTTAAAAAATTCTCTTGACCCTACAGGCCATCTCCGCAACTTCGCGCTAATTTCAAATGTAAATATAAAATTCACCTGTTACGACCTTTTTTCAGCTCGAAGGTTAACAACAGGAAAACAGGTTTAGGATAAAATTGTTATACGTTTTGAGCTAATTTTGAGCTAATAATTTTTTTTCGAGTTATTTAAAAAAAACACTTTTTCGAGATTTCTTTCGACAACGATATCTTTCGAACAAATCAACCATTTTTGATGCGATTTGCAGAAATCGATGTTGTTTTTGAGTAGAAGAGCTGATTAGATCAGAGAATTGATCAAAACTAGGGTGTCGAAGTAATTCCAAAAAAAAAATCATTTTTTTAGAATTATTAATACTCCATTCGGTCTTAATTCACAGGGAATGCAATTACCTTATGCACACACACACACACACACACACACACACACACACACACACACACACACACACACAGAAGAACGCGCGTGCGCAAACACACGTACAGATATTTGGATATCATCGAAAAAATTGCCAATTAGCCAATAGCTTCCGAGGTATGGAGTGTAGAGGTAAAGAGTGCAAACTGTATAAAAAAGTGTCCGTAGGAAAGCGCTAAATAAGGGTGGCACTATAGCTACAGTCTAAATTTTAAAGAACTTTTTATATTTTTTTTTATTGCCCAGACTTTTACCATAATTTTTTTTACAATAATTATTTTATTTCTTTCTAAATTTTTATTTTAAAATCACTCTCAACGTATTTTACAGCGATTTATCCTTATATGATTGATTATGATTTATACCTGTAGCTACTCGAGCGCTGTTGTGGAGAGTTTTTGAACTGTTATTTACTGCTTACATTTCCAACTATTCTCCTATGGGAGATTGTCCTCCTTACCTATATACTCTATTTTCCTAGGACTTCGAAACGTCGATATATAATGAAAACTTGATTTTCGGAAATTGAAGTGAAAACAATAACTTCCCGATTTTTTGAAAACATTAATTTTCATAACGGGAAGTTAAAAATATATTTTTTGAACTTTACGTTTATATCTGTATGAAATAAAATTTATTTTTCTCCTTTATTCTCACCGCCTTTCGTCACAAACTTACTCATATTATGCACTATTGCCAAGACATTTGAATTTTAAATAGCAAGATTTAAAAAGTTACGAGATCTTCCAGCTTATGCGTTATGCGAGTATTCCTTGCGGCAAACATTGTTGAATTATTCCAACGCTTTTAATATTGTTTCTGAGGGAGAAGTGAAACATTTATGATTTGCAATTCAAAACGAATTTAATCCATATTGTTTTCTTAGCTACAGTGCATGATTATCCCACCTGATGGTAAGTGGTGATGCAGCCAAAGATGATCAGATGACGACGCTGACAAATTATTCCTTTCCGTTGCTAAAAGCATTACGAACGACAAAGCGTGGTATAATATATTCAATAAAGGGGTGGAGACTGGCCGAGTCTTGATGGAGAGAGTTGATGGAGTGACGCAGGTTGTTGTATATGCAAGTGAATCAGAATTGTACTTTGTCTCAATCTGATCAAAATCTATAAAACTATATTATGGTTGCAGCACGAAAGGGTCGGCTCTACCGGGAAAGGACCTCGCTCTCACAGAATACCAGCGTAAAGTAGTAGCTTAATACTGCTGTGTTTCGTATGGCGCGTGTAGGGATCCTGAAATCTATTTTTACTGGAAACGAGGAATTCCTTAGGGGTGACAACGCATCTGCATTTTAATTCTTAATCGAAGATAAATGTAGATGTCTATGGGCCACAGCGTCCACTTACCATCAGGTGGACTGTACGCTCGTTTGCCACCGTTATTCTATAAAAAAGATTAATGTGATCACTTATCCTATAAGCTACATTATGATTTTATCTATATATTACGCACATTTATGTTACATTACAATACAAATGAGTAAGTGAGTGTGTGAGTAGAGTGAGTAAGTGTATAGACGAATCCCGTGTCTATGGGAACTAAACGTCAAGAAAAATTAAAAATTTTGTAGAATCGACTTCTATATAACTAAAATGAGAAGATCATCAATGCATTCGAAGTCAATTAAATACGCATTATTAAAGATAACTCAAAAAATACCAGTCAGATATTGATTAAATTTATATAGGAGCACCCGAGAATCACCAGCTTTCGGATAAAAAAAAGAATTATCTAAATCGGTTCACCCGTAGAAAAGTTCTGAGGTAACACACATAAAAATACATACAGTCGAATTGAATACCTCCTCTTATTTGAAGTTTGTAAAAATAAGTAAAATTAAAGCCATAAAATCCGTAAAAATAGTTTTATCCAATGTCCAGTGTTCGTATATATAATAATCATAGTCATAAAAATATTTAACATATACAGTGTTGCGGTCACTTTAGATGGTACTCTCTTCATTACGTATATTCAAAGAAAATAAAAATCACCGGTCGGACTAGTGCGGAACCGGCCAGCTCGTTACGCAACTCTTTCATTTATCCACAAAGGAGAAATGTTCATGCTTTCGTTTCGGTCGTTCTATTTTCTTTTGTTTTTAATTAGAACGGCTTTGAACGTATACTTAGTGGTTAACATAACATTATATCTATTGCATTCTCTTTAGTTAGCTGAGTAATACGTACGCCTGTGCCTAAAGTGGATATTAAACTATGAAATGCAGCTTCTCTCATTTGCATTTTTTACGCTAATAGAGATTCTGGGGACTTAACGATATTATACGTTAAAATGTACAATAATATTTTTTAATTCAGCGCCACGTTGTCATATTTTTAGTTGTTACTAGAAAAACGCTGATGCTCACATACAGCGTATACAAAAATAGTTTTTTATAGAACAAAACCTTAACCCGCGGAGTGACCATAGCTGCTGAATTATACTGCAATACCTTGATAATGTGTGCGAGCTAGTGCTTCCTCAGTGGTGCGGACCCATTCATTCCACCCGACGCTGCCTTATTCTTTTGTGTCAGACTAGAATAATAAAAATTGTAAGCTTAAATATTCACCGATTAATCGATACAAATATAGTAAATTGAATTGTCTGTCCATTTCCGTATAGTTGTGGTGTAAGAATATCCACAAGCCCATATCATCCCGTGGGTGTCGTAAGAGGCGACAGGGGGGAAACAAATCAGGAGATGGGCAGCAGCGTCTTCCTAATAACGACTGAAAATAAAACTGCGGTTGCCAACCGCTTGCCAAGCGTGGCAACTATGGCACATATCCCTTCTATGAGGCAATCTATGGAGGAGGCCTATTCTCAACAGAGAGCTTTAAAAAGCTGTAACGGTAACGGTCTATCTGTATGCATGCTATTAAGACATGAATAAAAATTTTGATTTTTAATAATTTTATCTGTCTGTCTGTTTTTTGCCTGTCTACCGACTGTAAAGGAACTTGACTAACTACTACTTATTGTAAAACTAAATCTATCCTACCAGGCAAATCTGGGACGTTTCGCTAGTCTTTAGGTTATCGATATCGACAATAACATTAACTATTTTGCTCAACAGAGAATATACGCCACGCCAGTACCTCAGATAGCCAAGATATCGGACCTGCTGGCGGGCCAGAATCCATCCTTCCAGGCTGCCATCGCTAACCAACTTTATGCTCCAATTTCTGCGTACCAGCCTCGCGTAAGTTACCTATATTTTAAAGGACAGTTAAAGTTACGCCGTATAAGGCCTCCTCAGGGGCAGAGGCCGCTTCTCATTTCCAATAGCGTGTTTTGCGAACTTGTCTTGCACATGTCCCCGAAATATTTTAATCTTCGGACATAGATTTCCCCATGATATTTTGTTCGGTCATGCTGGTTTCACCGCGATGTTATGCTTCACCGCCGAACACGATAATCACAACTTAAAATCGTAATTAATTATTTCATTGGTGCCGGCGGGAATCGAACCCGAATTACTCGAGTAGGTAATTCCCCCTTTAGTAAGCTAACTTCTTGGATTCAAGATGCAAGTCGTGGAGCTGTAGGGACACAACTTACACATATTTAAACTGATTATTCTATTTTGCTCATTTTAGTCTCCTCATCTAATAATTCAGGGTAATAGCTGAAAATCAGTGTTCGCTCCCTGAAGAATGTTAGTCGCTGAGCCAACTGCATCCATCTGCTAACTGCATCACACATGTACTTTTAGATCTTAATGTTATGAATCTCTTTTGTAATACGTTACTTTGTACCTAGTTTAGTCACAGAATTTGCGTGTGTAATTTGAAAAAAAAATGCTTTATCTATATGTGTATCTATTGTCAGATATACCACGAGCTCTAAGCTGAGCTGCCAAAGCCGTACTAATAAATTATAAAGAAAAATAACTGCCTTTAAATGATCTCATTTTTTGAGAAGATGTTAGAGCGAAGCAGAGAGAGCGGGGTGTATAACCTATATTTTGTAAGCAGTTCGTCTAACCTACGAACAAAACCCTAATAATGAACTGAATGAATGAGCCGAAAGAGAAAGAAATGGTCGGCTCGACCGGGGAAGAAGCACGCTCTCACAGAATACCGGCGTAAAATATCAGCCTAATACTGCTGTCTTTCTTATGATGAGTGTAGAGATCCGGAGACCCATCATAGTCCTCAGGGATGACAACGCATCTGCATTTTGATTCGTAATCGAGGATAGATGTAGATTTCTATGAAACATAGCAACCACTTACCATTAGGTGGACTGTGTGATAATAATAATCTTACGCTCACCAAATCGCCCACTAGGTGGGATTAGGTGAGCTTATTTGTTACGCAGATGGTCACATATCATCATCAAAAAGTTGCGTTTTAAATAAAAAAAATTATAGTTTCTGCGGTATGTACGAATGCCTCATTGGTCTAATGGTTGTAGTAGTGCGACTGCTGATCATGAGGTCCCGGAATCCAAACTCGGGTCGGGCCAAAAATATCAATTCTTGAGTGTTTCCATTTAGAAATTCTCAGTGGCTGCCCGGAGTCAAGAAGTTGGCGGTGGCCTCGGAAAGCTTGTAAAGCCGTTGGTCCTGCGCCTAATCTCTCTCCGGTTATGTCGGTTTACCGGCCAATCAGACCATGAGAGTAAAAGAATAGAGAGTGCACCTGTGCTTGCGCATACACTTGAGGTAATCCTGCCCGCGCATGTGGCCGTTGAGGCTGGCCGCCGTGACCGAAATTCGGTCTGGAGGACATTATCATGTACGAATACATACAAAAAACAATGCCTCAGCGCTGGTTTCTTTAATTGTTTATACATTTTTTTAATAATTTACTTTTCGGAATATCCTTAATTTAATTTATACATTTGTAATCATTTTTTTTATAAAATATATTTAATATTTCAGAAATAAACATTAATCTCTACACATTTCTAAGAAATTAACTTCCTAGCTATGACATCTGTCCAATATTTATCTAACTTCATTCTTAAATAGCACCTTAGTGGCAGAAAAAGTCACGGACTTGTGACCGAAAATTTATCTATGTACCTAGTTTGTTTTACAGAGCACAAGTTAACTTTTATCTATTTTCAGTCTGGATCACCAACAACGTACGAAGTGTCGGAGCCAGTACCATCGCAACTCGCCTACAGCGAACACAGATTGGCTTACCAGCAGCCTAATTCCTTACAGTTCACACCACAAGTCTACAATCAAAAAGCACCTGCACAGCTGGATTACTTGCAACAGCAGATATTGGCCCAGCCTCAACAAATTTACAGCCAAGAACCGGTACAACAGATATATGAACAAGCTCCTCAAGCAAACTATCAGACCCAGCCTATTACATATAACCAAGTACAACCTGTGCAGTATACAGCACAGCTACAAAAAAAGTTAGAAAACCAACAAACCTTCCAGGCAGCGCAGTATCAAAAAGCACAAAACGCAATTTATTCAGACAATCAGCAAAACCTACTTTCAAATCAGTATAACCAGGCTCCTCAAGTGTTTTACACAGATGGACAGCAACAATACCAGCAACAAGCATACGTACAGGACCAGCCTGTCCAAAATGTTCAGCTCGGTCAACCTGGGGTCACGTATTTACGCCCGGAAACAACGCAGCAGAAGGTGTACAATCAGCCAGAACAGAACCAAGTATACGAGAAGCCACAGTTTGTAGCACAGGTACTAAAGTTTTTTATGACCTAATATGATAAGGTTATATTTTTTAAAGTTATGTTAATATTTAAAGCTACCATGGAAATTTAATTACAGATACGAAGGTCACTCAATAAGTTTTGAGATGCTCGAAATTTAAAAATGGAACGGCACCCATGTTATATGTTTCTAAAAAGCAATTTTATTTAAAAATAGAACTCCATAAGCCAATTGCTCAATTAAAAAAAAACAAAGTTCTATTAATTTTCCTGCAACACTTCCCGCGCTTTTCATTTAAAATGATGGAATTTAACCGTGAACATGTGCGCGCTGTGATCTATTATTATTTTAAATTTGGTTTAACTGAACTATTAAGTTTACAACGGTTACAGTCAACATTAACTCAACAAGCACTCAGATCCATCACGTGCAACGATTTTTAGGTGGTTTTCTGAATTCAAAAGGGGTAAAATTAACCTTAAAGATGATCAAAGAACCGGGGATGAGCAAACAGCAGTAACGGAAGAAAATGTATGGACTACTGAAATGTTGGTGCGAGAAGACCCACGAATTACATATACGGACATCGAAAAGATAGTAGGCATTATTTCGGGGAGTATTCATACCATCCTACATCAACATCTTGGAGTGAGGAAGCTTTTTTATTGATGGATCCCTCGTTTGCTCTCCGAAAGCGAAAAACAGACTTGTGTGATGTGAAGTGCGTCTACGTTTTGAAAACGGGTCATCTAGGCGTGTTTCAGAAATCGTCACTGGTAACGAGACATGGGTCTATCAATATGATCCGGAAAATAAAAGGTAATCATCGGTATAGGTTTACACAGAAGGACAGTTACCGACGAATCTGTAAACACCTAGCAACGTTCGGGAAAAAAAATGGTGCCTAGATTTTTTTCGCGGAGCGGACACTTGTCGACGTCAATGCCGGAAAATTGTAAGTCAGTCAACTCTGAATGGTATACTGCAGTTGCATTAACCAAAGCTTTTCAAGCTATGCAGGCGAGGGCGAGGCAGGGCTTCGGGGAATCATGCTGCATCACGACAACGCCCCTTCACATACGTCCCTTAGAACAAAAGCATTTATTGAAGAATCTGGTGTTGAAACTCTAAGTCACACACCCTACAGCCCTGACTTAGCTCCTTATAATTTCTTTTTGTTCCCAACAGTCAAAGAAAAAATAAAAGGTAAATTTTTTTTCAAGCACCGAATAATCCGTGGCTAACTACGAAGAAGCGATTTCAGACCTGTCAGATCAAGGCTGGCATAAGTGTTTTCAAAGTTGGTTTAGGCGCATGGAACTTTGTATAGAGCATGATGGAGAATATTTTGAATAGTTGTGAAATAAGTATTAATAGTATCTAGAATACTTTTTGTATATCTCAAAACTTATTGAGTGTCTTACGTATGTTATGCAGCAATGCGACACGCTGAAGTCTGCATTCTGTTAATAGACTTCACATTTTTACGTGGTAAAGGCATGTTGCAGCTATATTATGGTTGTAGTACGTATGGGTCGACCCGAACGGGGAAGGCCCACGCTTTCACAGAATATCAGCGTAAAATAGCAGGTCAATGCTGCTAGTACGTATAGATAGAGAACTGGAGACCCTTTTTACTTGATACGAAGCATTCCATCTTATTCGTCAGGGGTCACAATGCATCTGCATCATGAATTAATCGAGACTAAATGTAAATATCTGAGGGCAATCACAGCATCCAGTTACAATCACGGGGCTTTGTGCTCGTTTGTCTTCCTTATTCTACAAAAAAAAACATTTTATTGATATATTTTAAATGTTAGCTTTCTCATTTTTAACATTGAGTAATAAAAGAATGGTTAAAAATGTTCGACATACGTAACATTTTGATTAGATAAGTTACGTGTAATTAGAAATACCATTCACCATTACACTGTTAATCCATTAAATGGCCGTATAATGGCGGTCTAATTTCAATCTTTCACACCATTTCGTCCTATAAGTGTAAGAGGCGACTATAGAAAGAGTAAAAAGATATTATGGTTTCCGCTAGATGGTGGTATAACCATCTCGTTATTTTTTGTAGAAGAGGGGGAAAACGATCATACGGTTCACCTGATGTTAAGTGACTACCGCCGCCCATGAACATCCGCAACGTCAGAGGAATTCCAGGTGCGTTGCCGGCCCTTTAGAAAGAAGTAAGCTCTTTTCTTGAAGGTTAAATGTTAAAAACAGTCCTACTCCTCGCAGTATAGTGCCAAGAACGCTGTCTGCGATTTCTCGCTGAGTGACTTAGCCCTTAAACGAGAAAAAACCAGTCCTCTTATCACCTGCAGCATCGATCGTTCGCGGAGACAATCCCTTTAGGAACTTCACCGCACGTAAACCCCATTAACTTGATAAAAGAACGTAAATTTTATATTTTTATAATGACTACAGTACTTCAATTAACTGTATTGCGTTCTTTTTCATATCATTCACATGACTTTAGTTATAGTAAGTAGACAAGTAAGTAGCAAGTAGACTGTAGTTAAAAAAATAGTGTTATGAAAAATTTTCTTTAAAATTTAATAGTACTAATATCTTAAGATCCAGGATTAATCCTAGTTTAGGAATCAGTGCAACAATTCATTTGTAACCTTTATAAGTTTTAATAAAGATTGTTATTCTCTTTCAGAACTACCAATCTCAACCTCAATCCCCAGTAAGCTACGCGAGTTTCTCCCACAACCAGGCTAACCCGTCCATCATAAACCATCCCTTCCATCAACAGAGTGTACAACAGATCCAACAATATACTCCAGCGCAGGAAGCGACGAACATCGTCTCACAAGGAAACGCCGGTCAAGAAAGACAACTTTCTTACTTGAGACAAACTCCTCAACATCAAGTTCAACCTCAGGTGCTCCAACCTCAAGTTCAGGCTCCGGTGTTCCAACAACTCCAACCCCAAGTCCAGTACTCACCTAAGGCTAACCCTGGTTATAAAGGTGAACCTGCGGCTGCGGCGCAATCTTACCAACGAGTGCAATATTTTGGAAAATACGCACAATCTATATTCGGTAAATCGCAGCATTGATGTTTCAAATGCCGATTTTTAATTTAAGTAATATTGTAGATTAAGAAGAGAGCCTACTCCTTTTTAAAAGGTTGCGTTAGTTACGTACCATCAGGTGAACCGCATGCTCGTTTGCCTTCTCCTTTATAAAAAAAAATAATATTGTAGCCAACATTAAGATATTGGTAATAAAGAGGCCTAATGCTGCTTGAAATATCACTATTGGAATCAGGCGTTACTTTGTTGAAGTCCGTTATTAAAAAAAAAGTCAAAATTTATTAGCTAATTTTCGCGTTAAAAATAAAAATGATATAAGACATATCATTCTTGAAACACTTATTTATCACCGAATCTTAGCTTATTAGTTTTAACATATTTGATATTTGAAATATTGTAAATAATATCTGTGACATAATACTTAATTTTTATATAGATTTTATCTTAAAATACAAACCTACCGTTACCACTTACGTCTACAAACTAATTTTTAACTGTTGCTGTATATACATACCGGATACTTGTACTGGCCGTAAAGAAATTGCAAGCTGAAGAAAAATACATTAAAATTAAAAGAAGAAAAAACAAGAAGCTAGGTCTCAGTTGCGTGAACACTCACATTATGTTTTTAAATAAAACAAATTAAATACATAAACATAAAATTTTGTAAAACATGTCTATATATATTTTTTGGTATATTACCTGTATTATCACCCGATGAAGTTCAAGTTCTATTGATGTTCTAACAGGTACATTTTAACGCTTTTCATAATATGAACATTTTTTATTTCACGTACTCTCTCCAATTATGACTTTAGTTATAGTATACAACCCTAACATCAGTTTTTATTTTAACTTTTCAAAAGTTAATGGTAAAATATTTTTTGAGAAGAAAAAGCCCTATTCACTACGAATTTAAATACATATCTCAATATATTAGGCCTTAGTTACCTTGCTAGAATATTACGTATACACATATAGCAGATACTCATGTATCTAAAATGACAATCAATCTCGTTGGTGAAATGGTAGTCTGCTCAATTAATTCCAACTTTGAGATGGGAGCAATTTCTGACGTCCCTCGAAATGGGTAACTAAGATTTCGTGTCGCAATTTCAATTCATTACTCTGTTCGCAGGTAGTACAGTATAATTACCAACACTATGTATGTCAGTCGTAAATCATGTCAAATTAGAAGCTATATTATATATGCATATTTTCCAACTGTGATGCCTTAATTTAATTATGAAAAAGGTTGATTTGTATTGTAATAATAAATTAATACAGAAACGCTTTTCTTTTCCTTTTCATCATACCATAGTTTTTATCCTTCCTTTCCCTCCACCATAAGATATCATAGCCTTCGGTAGATGGCGCTATAACCATGTCGTTGTAAAAAAATTGCAACCCTTATATAGCCTGTGGCCGATGAAGGAAAAGGGGAGATCTCCCGCCGGGCAAGGTGTTCTGCCCGGGGAGCGGCTCACACTCCGAGTGATAGTTTTTTTTTTTTTGCGCCCGAAGCAATTAAAGGGCTACCCTATACGTAGGGAGGCGGAAAATGCATTACGCATACCACGATAGCTGGTCTATCGTGGTTATGAGGGGCTCACTGTCCTACTGGGGACCCTAAGTGATACCCTCTAAAAACCGCCTTTGGGGACAGGCAACCGGCTGATTAAGCTCTATTGTGCCTTATCATGAGCGACCCTCTTTTGGGAAAAGAGGGCGCAGGCGGCTAAGAGCCGCTGAGGGAGTGCCTACGAAGGCAAATTAAAGTTGGTTAATACAATAATTTAGTTTAATTAGAGCCGCCAGGAGACAGTTCAGGTCGTTTGACAGTTTATTAGGCGGGTCCGAGAGAGAGTTTCTCGGCCTGCGGACACGATAGCGAGAGGGCGGTGGGGCTGCATAAGAAGCTGCCTCACGAATTAATTGATTTGGGTGCGACTCTGAGACTTTGAAGAAGTTCTCAGAGAGTTTTTTAAGGAATTGTTGAATTGTTGGGAGCTCTAAGTCCCGATGAAGGTCGGCATTAACGGACGTACCAAGGTGCGTTCGCAGCTCGACGGCAGAAGAGGTTCTGAACTATTTGGAGTTCATTTATAATGTTAGGGTTTGCGTGGGCAAAGACGGGGCCCGCGTAGGACATGACCGGTCGTATACAGACCTTGTAAAGGGTACGCTTGTTTCGAAGGGACATTTTACTGTGTCGGCCCAACATACTGTTGAGCCTACTCAGATAAAACCGTGCGTGACGGGTTACTCTTTTGACGTGGGGCCTGAGTAAAAGTAAGAAGTAAGCCATGTGTCTAGAGTGACACCTAAATATTTGGCGGTCGTATGCCAGGGGACAGGGGTCCCTAGCATACGTATTGGTGGAGTGTTTTTGAGACGGCGTCGTTTATAATCGAATTGAACGGCGGAGCTCTTCTCCGGGTTCACATCGATGCGCCATTTTTTTGAACCAAGCTCCTAGGTCATCAACTGACTTTTGGATCTTGTTCCGTATGAAGGGTAGTGAGACACCTTTGTAGTAGATGGCAGTGTCGTCTGGAAGAGGGAGAGTTGAACACCTTTCGACGTTGTAAAAAACGTCGTTGGTGAACAGGATGTACAGCAGAGGAGCAAGTATATATATAAGTGCATTGTTTGACTCCTACTCTGTATCACTTTCTATCTGATAAATTATTATTATTATTATTATTATTATTATTTAGCGGAGCCCTGAGGGACAGCAGCCTTGATAGTTCGCTGTGAAGAAAGCGTGCCTTCGTGTCTAAAACGAAAGGTACGATGTTTTAAATAGGAGGCCACGAGACGAACTAGACAATCGGGGAGACCTATTTTGTATAGCTTGTAGATGAGGCCTGTGTGCCAGACTCTATCGAAAGCTTTGGCTATATCGAAAAAGACCGCGATGGTCTTATGACGACGAGGATAGAAACCGCTGAGGATATATTCCACAATGCGGTGAACTTGTTGGGGACATGGGTGTTTGGCTCGGAAACCGAATTGATGGGGAATGATAAGAGGGATCGCCGTCTGTGGGAAACAGATAGCGCCTCATACGCGCTTGGATGACTCTTTCGAAGAGCTTGCCCATTGCCTTGAGGAGGCTAATGGGGCGATGGCTGGAGGGGGAGGTTGAGAGGCTTGCCTGGCTTGGGAATTCCAATCACAGTAGCCTCTTTCCACGTAGTGGGGAAATAACTGAGGTTGAAGCAGGCGTTGAAGATAATAGATAGAAAGGTTAACACCTGCTCAGGAAAGTGTTTTAGGGCTTGGTTGGAGATGCCATCCGCGCCCGGAGCCTTTTTGGGCTTAAGTCCTTTGATGAGGGATGAAATCTCATCATTGGACACAGAGATAGGTTCGGAGGCCGTAGGGGTTGAGTTCCGGCGGCGGACCTCATCCTCCACTGCCTGGACGTGAGAGGGGTCGACGGGTTGAGAACTAGGAGAGCATTGAGCGGCAATGGAAATAGAAATAGAAATAGAAACTTTTTTATTCAATGTAGATTATAAAAATCTTATTGAAGGTGAATGGTATCCGCAAAGCACTCAGCCTTTTCCTCGTCCTCGAAGGCAACCGTGCCGTCGGGACGGGAGAGAGGGGGAGTGTGGGTGATAGCGTCTATGCGGAGGGCTCTAGCCATCTGATAGTACGCTGTGTGAGATATTCTCCATGAGCTTACTCTTTTCGAGGTCTCGAAATTCAGAGAGGCGGAAGCGGAGTTTTCGTTGAAGACGATTGGCCGCGCGCCTATATTCGGGGGTGGGATATTTTGCTGCTCTCCGGAAAGCAGCTTTTTTGGCTTTTAATAGGTTGCTAATATGTAGGGGAAGCCCACTATTGTTAGCAACCGGGACGACCCTTTCGTTCTCCTTAAGGGAGGATTTAATAAGGGTGGAGAGTGAATCGACCGCGATGTCGATTTTTTCGGGACTATCTAAGTCCGACGGTAGGGAGATGGTAGAGTCCTGTGGGTCCAAAGCTTTAGCTAGGGACTCCTTGAATCCCTTCCAGTTAGTGAAGGTTTTCGTGTGTGTTGGGGGAGGTGGCTGATGGCCAAGAATGAGGGAGACCGGTCGGTGATCTGATCCTAGATCGTCTAGTGTCTCGATTGCTCTGAGGTTGAGAGAAACTCCTTGGAGTAACGCAAAATCTAACACATCGGGGGCGTGATCTGTGTTATCGGGAAAGTGAGTAACACCGAGAGGACTATGGACGGTAATATCAAGAGACTGCGTGATATCGAGCAGTATCTTGCCACTAGGGGACGTAGTGCGGCATGTCCATTCAGTATGCTTGGAGTCAAAATCTCCAAACATAATGACTGAATTGCCTAAAGATAAAATGGCCTCAAAATCTTTTTTGAGGGGATAGGTTCCTGAAGGGATGTAACAGGAGGCTATGAGGATGGACTGATGTCCAGTCATAGCTAGCCTGCATACCGTGGCTTCCATGTTGGTAAGCTGCGGAGTAGAAATGGGCGAGCAATGAAGTGTCTTCTTGTAATAGATGGCCGTTCCGCCGCCTCGGCGGTCGGGTCTGTCGTTACGAAGAAGAGAGAAGTTTTTAATAAAAAGGCCTCTAGTGTCCTTAGCTTTGAGATTAGTTTCCTGTAGGAGGAGGAAATCGACTTCACGATTCCGAAGAAAGAGCTTAAGCTCTGAGAGGTTATTTCGCAAGCCGCGAATATTAAATGTTACAAGCGATAAACCCTTAGGTTTGATACGACCGTGAGATCTTGGTAGGTTAATTTGCTCAGTCATTGAAGTTAAGTTAATTAAGTTAACTTAACTTACAACGCTAACAGAAGGTTATTGTGTTCTGCAAGAACGAGAAGGCGTTCTTGGGGGGACTTCGCCGCGCGCAGTTTGCGTGATACAACGGTTATTTCCCTAACATCGATATTCCTAATAGCGGAATATAGCGTGTTGTAGTCGTCGAGTGTGGGCTCTGCTTCATGTGCGTACGAGGTTGTCCGCGGTGGGTCTGCCTTTTTGGGCCCCCAGGGA